CACACACACACACACACACACACACACACACACACACACACACACACACTCAACATGTATGTCAGTGTCCCAGCTGCTGCATTACCTGCTCATGAATAAAGTTTGTAATTATCAGTGAGTCAAGGAACCGCCTCAAACAGGAACATACGAAGTGAACACTCGAAGTTGATCCTGTAAACATGACCTCATGACACAGACACATTTCAGAGAAGGAGCTGACGTGTGCAGCCGTTTGTTCACGATCAAGTTCTCATGGAAAGCAGGAGTTATGCTAACTCTGGTGGGACTCTAACTCTCAACCTTTGAATATCATCTTACTCTGAGATGAATTCACAGTCATATTAAAGATGTTAGATCACCAGATGTTTAACATTATTTTACTGAACTTTAAAACAAGTAGAATTAATTCCGACGTATGTTCCGATGTCTGTTTTACGTAATGTGACACCAGCGTGTTGATCTCCGGTGGGTTTGACGTGTTGAGTGTGTTTGTCACGGTGCAGAGTCGATCTCGAGGTTCCAGGTTGAATATTATCATAGTCGCTGAAGGAGCCATCGACAGACAGGGACAAGCCATCACGTCTGGTTCTGTGAAGGATGTGAGTGAGTCGTGACGAGTGAGCGTCACAGAGGGGGAGGGGACGGAAGCTGGAGCGGCCGGTGGAGATCAGCCCCTGAAAGAATCCGCTGCTCCGTCACAGGATCCAGCTTCTGTGGATGCAAAAGGTTTTCTGTCATGTTTTCGTTGAAAGTGAAAAACTGCCTCTGCTTATTTACGTCCCTCTAGAACCGCGCTGATAAGAAAAGGCTGAACATTATTATTGTAGCTGAAGGAGCCATAGACGCCCACAACAAGCCCATAACTCCTGATTATATCAAGGAAGTGAGTATGATGCAGAACCTACGTCAGAGGCTCCTTCAGTGTGAGAAACACTCGCACGTGACTTTTTCCTTTGCTTGTTTCACGTAAGACTTTTTTTTAAATTTGAATTCTTCACTTCCTCTATATCTCCACCAGGCTTCAATATTATTTCATCTTCATCCCATCACGTGTTCCTGCATCTGATTTATCTCACTAACATGACAGGAGATGTTTCGCATGGTTTCTCCCTCTGTCCTTTTTTTTTTTTATTTCTGCATTTTCTCTAGATTAGATGTAGTTTTTAAATTGTACTGGACAGTCAGAGGAAGTAGTAATAATCTTCAGTAGGATTCAGTTGATTCATTTACAACAGTTAGAGCTGTTGTTTCCCTTGTGATCACCGTGTTCTCTCTCTCTACCCAGCTGGTCGTCCGCTGCCTGGGTTTTGACACCAGGGTCACTATCTTGGGTCACGTGCAGAGAGGTGGGACCCCCTCCGCCTTTGACAGGATCCTGGTACGTCAGCTCTGATCACTTTAACTTTTATTTTATTTCGTTATCCGAGGGGGATCATAGCACATCACTGGACATTGGAATAAAATATGAAAATAGGTTAGAGCTAATTTAAACATTCACTCAAACCCACACCGGAAATTCTGCAACGTTAAATTCTTTCCATGAGCGAGACGTTCTTGTTCCTGTTCGATTACTAAAATATACTGAACACATGTTTTCAGACGTTCTGCCGCTCAACTGCTTCGGTCTTCACCTCTGATCATGTGTGTGACCAGTAGCCGACATTATAATGACCTTTGACCCCTGCAGGCCAGTCGTATGGGCGTGGAGGCCGTGCTGGCGTTACTGGAGGCGTCTGCCAACACCCCGGCCTGCGTCGTGTCCCTGGTCGGCAACCAGGCTGTTCGACTGCCACTTATGGAGTGTGTTCAGATGGTAAGAGAGTGTGTGTGTGTGTGTGTGTGTGTGTGTGTGTGTGTGGAGTCGAGTGTACAGAGCTGAGGCCTGAAGATTGAATTGCACGGCCCACTCTGATTGGTCAACGTCTTCCAGCACGTGTGATGTCCGCTCTCTCTTTACCTGGCTTCGTTAGGGGGCGTGTCAGATCAGCCCCTCGATGTGCATCATGCGAATATAAGCCTCTGTGACGTCACGATGATGAGGACGAGGTGTTTGAGGAGCGTCAGTGTTTTTAACTCTGACGAAGGTTTCCTCTCTTTTGTCGTCAGACCCAGGAAGTGCAGAAGGCCATGGATGAGAAGAAGTTTGAGGAGGCCGTCCGCCTGCGTGGGAGGTATTTACCGTTTCTGAGTCGTGTGTTTTGAGGCTCACGTGTTTAACCGTGTGTGTATTGATTGATGACGGTCAGTGTGGATTTTGTTCTTCCGTGGATTCACTTTGTTTTTTCTGTGTCTTTTGCAGGAGCTTTGAAAACAACCTGAGAACCTACAGGCTCCTCTCCTACCGGAAAGCAGACTCTGAACTTCCGAATGTAAGAACGCCTCACGATCCCAGAACAGAAAAAAAAAAACTGTGATCACATCGAACCTGTAAATTCACAACAACTTAACTCCTCTGATGTGTTTCTCCACCAGCGGCTCACAGATTTGTGCGTTAGCATTTAAGGTACTTCCTGCTCGGGGCCTGTAGTCTCTTATTTCTGTCTCTGACACTGACGCCGAGTCTGTTTCTCTGTGACTGTCGGTCCTGAGGGAGAGGAGGAGGACGAAGAGCAGAGCAGCTCACAGAGCAGATGATAGAAATGAGTTCTGTTCATCTCACTGCTCCTCTGATGACACTTCATCAAGGATATGAGTTTTAAGTTTTTGATTTTCCAGGACTAATGTCCTGTGAGTTTGTGTAAAGAGCTCCAGACTCTGAATGTTCAGACTGAGTGATGATGTCAGAGCTCGATGTTCATCCATCATTGCTCATTTCAGACGTAGAAGTGAAGAACGAGCGGCATCAGAGCTGCAGGGAGGCTCGTCCCACCGGCTCCCGCTGTCACAGACAATCACAGTGAATCTGTTGTGAGCCGCTTCGAACGAAACTGGAGTCGCCTCCTAACGGTTTAATGTCACGGCTGAAAATGACTTCGCTCATTCTCAACTCAAAGTGTGACGGGCTCCGCTCACTCTGTCAGAGCCGGCTGCTGAAATTAATCCCTGATGCACGTTTGAATTCATTGAAATTTGCAATTAAACGATTCATCAGGCGACAGATTGAAATCGGACAATGTCAGTGTTGGTGTTTGCAGAATTAACATTGTTGTATTGATGTTATGTTCATATTTAACATCGAAAATAAAAATATTTCCTTAATTTAAGTTATTAGAAAACTCACTTGTCACCATATATTTAGTTGAATTTGTTTCTTTTTCATAGTTAATTCTATAAAAGTTAGATGTTTCCCTAATGACATATATTTATCCGAAGGGTTGATAGTGACAGAACTCTTAACTATCGAGATGAGCTTTGACATCAGGGACTAAACGTTTTTAGATTTTACCCAGAAACCTCTTGTGCTCGGGCCCTCGTGGTGCGTTTCGTGGACAGTGGGAGAAAGTTTGAACTTGAGACTGTGATGAGAAAGCAGCTGCTGCTTCGCTGCGGCTTCTTGCATGTGAGGCGATCTCTGCCTGCTGCTGCTGACGTCCTGCTCCGAGTCTCCGTGTCCTCGGCTGTCAGAGAGACGTGCATGGTTTTTACGAGGCGGTGGAGATGATGATCCAACTGATGTTTAATCTCCAGTAGAAATGCAGAAGGGCTGAGTCAACAATAATAAGAATCATCACTATGTCATCATTTGATTCTTTGAAATGTTAAAATATCAATATTTTGTTTATGCACGTGATGTTTTTATGATTTTCTTTGCTAATTGAAAAGTTTTTTACCCAAAAGGAAAAAACCTCAATGAACTGTCTGCTGTGAGAGAAAGAAAGAAATCACTTGACTTTTATAACTGATCATTTTAACGAGATTTGTCGTGAATTATTATTGATTGTGAACTTTTTATCCTGATAACATCTTGGCTCAGCCCTGATTCGCAGTGAATCTCCCGCTCGTCTTCATTGCCTCTAAAAGTTGCTGATGCACCGTCTCCTTCAAACCAAGCATCGCGCACACTGTGTCGTTTCACAGATGTGTGCAGATGTTTGAAAATGTGTGTACAAGCTTACGTGGACGCACGCGGCCCCTGAATAAGACACTGTGTTGTGTGTCTGTGTGTGTGTCTGTGTGTGACTGCTGCTGCTCTCCGTCACCCACAGAGCTCCTTTAACGTGGCCGTGCTGAACGTCGGTGCGCCGGCGGCCGGTATGAACGCTGCCGTGCGTTCTGCCGTCAGAGTGGGAATCACCGAGGGCCACAAAATGTTCTCGGTCAGCGACGGCTTCGAGGGATTTTACAAAGGACAGGTGAGAGAGTGTGATTACAAACACATTCTGTATATTCATCTACTTCCACAGTGAACGCATCTTCGAACTCGCTCGATGACGAGAGAACCAAACGGACGAGCAGCGTTTCCTCCGTGAGCTCACAGTGACCAGCAGCCGCTCTCCTCTCTCCGTGCTGTAATCTGTAATCCAATTACTCCGCTCCCACAGCTGCTGCACACACATGCACCGTGTCTGTTGGATTCTGCTCATTGTAGCCATGCTCTCCACACACACACACACACACACACACACACACACACACACACACACACACACACACACACACACACACACACACACACACACACACACACAC